TCTCCTTTCCCTAATAAACCTGTTCTTTAAATATAACTGCCATCTCTGTCTTATGAAGAAACTCACCTGGGAAACTCGTTGTGTGCCTCTAAAAGGGGGGCTCTGGTGAAACCTTTCCTGAAGTAAACCCAAATACCCCCTCTTTAAATCCATCAACTTCAAAACTACATCAATACTGTGTGCCACATATGTTCCTGCTATTTACAAGGTGTAACTTTCACATTCTTCCTTCACCATCTTTTATAGTGACTTGGCGCCTTGGGAATCATTCCAAGATGATCTTAAGAGTAATTGTAAGATTAACATAATTGTACCTAATACCAGAGTGTGCCAGGCACAATTATTTATTTATTTATCTGCTCATTCAACTCACAAAACAAGCTGACTGATAAAAAAAAAAAAAGAGAGAACTATGGTGGCCCCATTTTAAAGATAAGAAAACTGAGATTTAAAAATATCAAGTAGGCCCTCCCTGATGGCGCAGCGGGTTAAAGCACAGCACTAAGAAGCATAAGCCACTGCAGCATGAGTTTGATCCCCACCTGCCCAGGAGGTGACCACATGATGCGGCAGACCTCTCCTGACCCGCCCACTGCTCCCCTCAGCGGGAGGATTTCATGGATCTGCCTGTTCTGCTCCCCACTCTGTCCCTGGTGAATCCTCTCACCCTCCGCATCTCTGGCCTGTACCCCCGTTCTGTATGAATAAATAAATAAATTTTAAAAAAATATGTATCGAGTAACTTTCTCATGACCCTCAGCCTATGAGTGGGAGTCAGGAATAGTCTTTGGGTAACCTCAAGCCAGAGCCCCAGCTTAATCCCTGTGTCACATTCTCATAGTAACTACAGCATTTAAGACTAAGATGCTTCCTTCTGAAGTCTGGGGATGGAGATGGAGAAAGAGATATATAAAGAGATACATTTCACTCCATTCCCTACCATCTGTATTTGAGAAAATATATAGCAAAATGAACCAAGCACTGCATATGTAATTATGTATAACTATACTTGTGTAACTATGCATATTTTTTAAAGATTTATTTATTTATTCATACACAACTGGGGTACAGGCCAGAGATGCGGAGGGTGGAGGATTCGCCAGAGACAGAGTGGGGAGCAGAACAGGCAGATTCACAAAGTACACTGCTGAGGGGAGAAGCAGGGTGGCCAGGAGAGGTCTGCCGCCATGTGGTCGCCTCCAGGGTAGGCAGAGGTCTAACTCATGTGGAAGTGGCTTTAGCTTCTTAGTGCTGTGCTTTACCCCATTGCACAACCAGGGAGAGCCACAAAATTTTTTACTAACACTCAATAAAGTACAAAGTCCTCTAAAAATTTGAACTGGAATTTGTATAAATAAATTTTCATTGTTTTACTTCTGGTATTTTCTGATGTTTTGACAACATAGGTTCTAGCTAGCACTGGAGGGACAAACACTTCCCTAGGTGAGCTATTCCCAAATAGGAAGTGTGCCTTTCATATGTAAGCCAATCAATCCAAATGTATATACTAACAGGCTTCCTGTGAATGCTTGTCCAACAGGCTAGACAGGGCTAACATTCACAAATAAAGAAGGCATCAATTAGAAATTAAGATGGCAAAATTCTGAAGGGTCTCTGGCCAGGAACACAACATTTCAGAGTATGAAAACCACTTAACACAATTGTTAGTCATGATAATCAAAAGGGTTGAGTTTGTGCCAGGTATTTCAAAATAAAATCATTCTAAAAAATGGGCATCTGCCTTTTATCATCTTGAAGGATACATGAACTTTCCTGAGAAGTTCCAATAGGAATATTACCCCAGACACCCTGCCCCCTCTTCTACACGGGACCTGCAAAGGCACATCATTTGGAAACTAAAGAATTACTAAGAGAACCTAGAACATTAACCAGCTTTGTTTTAAACGCCAGTGTTGCTGTGTTATGACTCACCACACAACCATTTAACTGCTTTATATTGAAACTTTAGAATTATTTCATCAGACAAGTCTGCTTTGTAGAGACACTGAGCTAAGAAGGAACTTGGGCCCATTTGCCTTCTCCAAGGTGCTGGGCTTCATTATCCTTAACAAACTGTTTTTTTGCCTTGTGGAACAACGGCGCCTTCTACTTTCGAAAACCTAAAAGTAGAAGGCTAACAGGCAAAATTATTTCTCCTTCAAAAAATCCAGAGAGTATTCTGCAACCAGATTGCTTACAACATCTACAACTTTGAGGCCACATAATTGTGCTTGGCTGTTTTCAACATTTTCTGCACAGTGGCCTCTAGATGGCACAACGAGCATATAGATTGCATTTACTGGGCTTGACCCTGACCTGTATCAAAATTGCTAATCAAAGCTGTTAGATCATTTCTAGCACAAGCAGTTGTTACTAACTGGCCTTTCCAATTTCTCAACTTTCTAATACTACATGATGACCTGAGAGAAGTTTTAGAGGGCTAGAATTGAACACCAAAAAGAAAAAATTAAAATTACATAAAAGAAACCAACATTGTTCAAAAAATTATCTTTGAAGTCTTATGAAAGGAGTAACATGAGTGATATTATTATTAATATCATATTAATCACCTCATATTAGCTTTCAATTTAAAAAGATGCACTGCCCTTCATAAAGTGTTCATGAACAGGTCACTCAGAAGACTATGAAAACTAAGACAGAGATATACCCCTAATACTAAACTGAGGAAGGAATGAACAACCACATTAACATAAAGGGAGCTACACTGTGAAAAGTCACTCCAATTTGGCTTCATAGATTCCCTGGTGATTTCACATTAGGCCTGAGCTGCTTCATTTCCCACATTCCTATTCCATTATATATACATTTTCTAGAGACCCAGAGTAATGTCCCGATTTTCCAATCTCATCTGCCCATCACATAAATGGCAGGAAAGAGAACTGACAGTACATCCTGGATTCCACCTGTACTGGACAAAAACACAGAACCTGACAGAGATGTAGTAAGCCCTGGAGGGAAAATGTGCAAAGAGCTCAAATTTTGCATTTTTAACATAGTTCAAATGTGTTGCAAATCCATGGTAGAACAAGAAGATGAAAGGGCAATGATCAAGTGCATGAATGTTCAGGTGTTCACCAGGATAAGTGACAGAACACTGAGAAATACACATTTCCTGATCTCTTCTTTAATCATTTCCATGTAACTTCAGAGTAAGAAATATTGGATAATTGTGGAAAGCTGCCCAGGAGGTTCATCAAAAGCACCTCTTAGAAGGATATGGGAATGAGGATAGTCCATCCATGCTGTCTGGACTAAACTGGTAAACCAACTCTGCTGATATGCAGGTAAGTGACAACCAGGGCCAGGGCCACCTAAGAGCTGTTACTGTTGACACAAACCAAGTGCAGGGAACTCCCATCTGTCCATCAGGCATAAAGATTTTGATAAAACTTAACATAATAGAGTCAATTAACAGATCACATGGAATAGCAAGGATATATATGGGACACAATGATACCACAATAATGCCATTATACCGCTGTAAAATTAGTTGCAAAGCTGAATACGATGCTTGACATATATACTCATTAGAAAACTAACATTGTAAAATAATTACTGATTTATTTCAGATTTAAGAAACATTTAAATCTTTCCAAGATTCAAAAACCAGTCCCTTGATTCACTGTTAGTTAAGTGACCCCCCCCCTTATTTTTTATAGAGAGCAGTGTGCTATATAAGAAGCCTTAAAAAAAGATATATCAGGCCCTCCCTGGTGGTGCAGCAGGTTTAGCACTAAGAAGCTAAAGCCACTTCAGCATGAGTTCGAACCCTGCCGGCCCCTGAGGTGACGGCATAACAGACCTATCGGGACCAGCCCGCTGCTCCTCTCAGCAGTGTACTTCGTTGATCTGCCTGTTCTGCTCCCCACTGTGTCTCTGGTGAATCCTCTCACTGCCGCACCTGCACCTCTGGCCTGTACCCCCATTCTGTATGCACAAGAAAGACAGTTCCACAAACTTATCCTAGTGACCTAGTGATGTGACCTTCAGTGTGGATAAATACTGGTAGAAAAGATATTAATTATAGACTTAGTGGTAATTTTAAAACACTGAAATATTTAGTAAAGGAGCTTGATTAAATAAACTACAGAATATTCAAATAAAGAAAAACTCCTCACTAATGAAAAACAATATATGTATTGCTGATATGTATTGTAGAAACCTTTTGAAGGTAATTTCCATGAATTGTTTCCCATATTAACACATAAAGCATAACAATGTTTGTAAATATGAGCAGTAATGTATGTATATTATTTCCCAATGAAAGTTACTCGAAATTATTAAACTATGCCTGGTAATTTACAGTCATTGCAGCAAAAAAGCTCAAGTCATTTAAGATGGAGGGTAAAATGGAAAACCAATTTACCCCATATAATTGGCACAAGGTCACATGGAAGAAGGACAGTGACAAGGCAAAGATGGAACTCAGAAACAAAACCAACAGATTATATTGAAAAGAAGCTGTTTTTATATGTGTGAAAATAATCTAAAAGATAATATTGTTAGCATTCATAGCAAGACAAAACTTTTAGGAAAATACAAATTTCATAAAACTCATGATTAAATTTCAGGAGACTCTCAAATCAATCTTAATATAAAATTGATGAATGTGAATAATCCAATCAGTAACCAAATAATAAAATTCATCCCACAGTTGTCAGCATCCATTTAATTCAAATACAACCTTAAGTACCTTGTGAAGTAGATTTAATGAAGTCTAGATGCATTCTGGGCTAACTACTCTCCGTTACACTTAATCAGAACTGAATAAACAAACTCAATATTAGTCACACTTGTGCAAGTTATTCCATTTCACTGCAGCCAGAAGAGATTTTCATGTGATCCTGTTTAAACCAGCTAAACATCTGGAAAATGTGGAAACTATTCTGTAAGGCGCTAGAGGACCACACGCTCAGAGCAGACATCAGAGCTGTGACCGAGGTCAGACCCTGGGATGATGAGGGAGATGGCTTACTTACAATGAAGCCGAGCTTTTTATAATCCCGGGTGTACATAGACTTGCGCTTCTCCATGCTTCCACTGCTGTTATTAGGTTCAGACTCTGCATCAAAAGCAATTCTTCGAAGTTCAAATATAATGTCCCTCTGAGCCTGAAGGGGTTAGGGCAGGAAAGAAAAAGGGAGGGGGTTGAACTGCTTTCACTATGTGACATTACATGTACTCCCTCTGTCCCCAGTGTCTAAATGAATCACTGTATTCAGGCAAAAGCAAAACAGATAAAAGACAACCAATGTTCTAAGTTAGGGCTCTGAATGTTTCTCCTCCTGCCACTCTCCCTACTGGTCAGCCCTGGCTTTATTCCACGATAATCCTCACAGCCAAGTCACTTGGAGTGCTGATATCACTGTACGAGTTCCAAGACAGCCCCAACATGATGGTGGCTTGTGACTGGAGAGGCTGAGAGGGAGAGCTTGGAGGCAGTATGGTTAGACACAAGTGAAGGCACATGAGGTTCATAAAAAATATGCAAGTGAGGGCACTCCCTGGTGGCACAGTGGGTTAAAGCACAGCACTAAGAAGCTAAAGCCACTTCCGCATGAGTTCGACTCCTGCCTGCCCTGGAGGTGACCACATGGCTTGGCAGACCTCTCCTGACCCGCCCGCTGCTCCCCTCAGCAGTGTACTTCGTCGATCTGCCTGTTCTGCTCCCCACTCTGTCTCTGGTGAATCCTCTCACCCTCTGCTTCTCTGGCCTGTACCCCAATTCTGTACGAATAAATAAATAAATCTTTAAAAAAAAAGTGCAAGTGAAAAGGGGCCACTAGCTCCACTACGAAGTGACATCATCAAAAGCCTTAAAAACGATCAAAATGGTCAATCTTACAATAAGCAATGTTACTCACAATATATAAAAAAGGGGGAGATTAATAAATAAAAGATTTCCAAACAAAACAGGGAGGGCCATTCCACACTAAGATGAACTGTCCTCCTCTCGAAGTGATAAGGTGATGGTTTCATCTGTCTGGGATGATGGCATTGGGCTCTGACAAAATTATAGGGCATATAGCAGGTGGCTTCTCAAAGCCTCTTTATCATTCTTAATTGCATGGCCTCACTCCATGAATGAAGTGCTATGGCATTTACACACTTCACATGCACAGTTCACATCTGCAACAGATCAGGCCCTCACGTGCCAATAATGAGTGTTTTCATTTCCAAAGCTGTAGCACTGTTTAAGTTGAAAATGTGCTACAGCGAGGCTCCCAGCTGCTCCCTCTCACTCTATCCTCACACTGTAAAGTTCCCCGAAAGCTTTTTGAATGGAAACATAACCTTCCTGTACAATAAATAGAGACCTAGGGAGAAGTGTAGCAAACAGCTAACCTATAAAAATGTTAAGTCCAGAAGTTAGGTTAAACCTGGGACCCTTTGGCACTGATCACTACAAAAATTAATTCCTTAACCTGCACATTCACTATCACACAGCTACCAAGACACCCCACTTGTCTGGGAACTTGACTCCAGAGCTATTACTAGCTATTAGTAGTGGGGTTCGGGGCCAACATCTTTACCCATATGGCACCAAGCTTTCTTATTCTGTAGAGAAAGGCATGCATGTTAAGCATATAATGAAAAAAAAAACAGGTACTTTATTTTCTGATCCTAGGTCTACCTTAATTTTAAGCACTCACATTCCAAAGATGATAATAAAAAATATATATATATATCATCATCTAAAAGTCAGGTTTCTAAGGAGCCTACGGAAAGGCTTCTCACCACACTCTGCCTCCTATGCTCTTGCTGTTGTTCCATGAACACTCACCTGGTCCTGGGGGTCCATCTTGGTCATCATCCTGTCTTCAAGGAGATTGAAGGTTAATACCTGCAGCACGTACAGCTGGTGTGCCATTTCATTGTTGATGGCCCGCTGAGCTCGGATGACATGCTAGAAAGATAATTCACAAGTAAATAGTTTTATTTTTTTAAGATGTATTTATTTATGCATACAGAACTGGGGTACAGGCCAGAACTGCAAAGGTGGTGAGAGAATTCACCAGACACAGAGTAAGGGGCAGAATAGCAGGTTGATGAAGAACACTGCTGAAGGGAGTAGTGGGGGAGAAAGAAAAAATCTGCTACACCATGTGAGTCACCTCCCTGGCTGGGGATCGAACTCATGCTGAAGGAGCAGTGGTAAACATCATAGTATAGTGCTGCACTTTAACCTGATTGCTACCAGGGAGTGCCTGCAAATAGTTCTTTTGTTTTTTAAAGGAAGAAAGAAAAAGTAAATAATCTACAGAGGTTAACCCCTGTCATTAGGCCAAGCAGACCACACACATCTCAGGTGAGGTAGGTTGGCAGAAACAGAAGTGCCCTTTAGAAGTGAGGACCTGGGTGATCTTGGAGTTTTCCTTTACAGTCCAAGAGCCAATAAGTTTCATAAGCTTTTTAGATCAGAAACTATGAAAAGGCCTACTATATATAAAGATAGGTAGAAGAAGAGAAAACACTGGAAATTCCTGGGAAATGTGGCCATATGGATCAAAAGCTGTGCCTGCAATGGAGGATCTTGAAGGTAACTGGATTTCTAAAACAAAAACATCCCTTAGTGCAGTAGAGAAAGAAATAGTGCAGAAGTATGCTATGCAATTTGTTATCATCTTACTGCAGAACTGTCACTGACAGGAGCCACCATTTATAAATGGGGACAATTTTTAGAAGCAGCACACAAATAAAGTACTTGTCAGGTTTTTCTTTCATTCACTGTAGAAACCACATAGGGACTCCCACTACAACAAAGCAAAGAGCAAATTCACCTGTGGTTTTTTACTCACCTATTATCACTTAAAGGAAAAGTGATGCAGAAAAAGAGGACCTAATGGAACAAATATAAAAGAAGTGGTAGGAGACTGGAGGAGGGGCCTGTGCCCCAACCAGAACTGGGTCTAACATGAACTTGAAACTTGAGCCTAACATATATCCTTTTTGGCAGAGAATGCTGTTGTCCCTTAAAAATTTAGTAAAACAAGGGGGCTCCCTGATAGTGCAAGAGTTAAAGTCAACACTGTCAAGCTATCACCAGCTACTGCAGCATGAATTCCATCCCAACCCTCTCTCTCCCCACCAGGCAGCTGACCTACTTGGTACACCAGGTCTCTCTTTGTCTTACTATCTTCTTCCCTCAGCAGTGTATTTCAGTTAATCCAGTTGTTCTGCTCCCCATTCTGTTTCTGGTGAAGCCTTTCACCCCCTACACTTCTGGCCTAAATTTCAGTTCTTGTATGCATACATAAAAATTCTTTTTTTTTTAAGTGCCAAAAAAACTGGTCAGTGTGGTAAAACAACCATTGAAATTGGTAATTTTTAATGTGTTAGAGCCACTCACATCTTAAAGTTGGAAAGAATCTTCTCCAGATTTCTCCCAACCTGGCTTCCCAGTACTCCATATCCTGACTGTGAGCACCATATGAAGTGGTTAATTAGAGAAGGTGGGATGAGGAGATAAATGAGAAACAGAAGGAAAGCTAAATAGTAGGATGTATGGAAGAGTCAAACCCCATAACCTTTCATCTTCAAGACAAAATGCTGATTCATAATGTGTGTTTAATGTCCAAAGTATAAGGATGCTAAAGTATATGAATATCAGTTTCATTAGCAACACAAAAATTTCTTCCCTGCAGGCTGTTGACGGAGAAGACCAACCTTAAAATTCCAATTATCAAAGTCTCATAAAACACTCACTGAAATGATCTTACAGTCAGTCATTCCAGCTCCCATCTCTGAGCCTAATAACTCCATTTGTCACATCTAAGTCACAGCAACAGTAATCCTAGACCTTTTTAATTCAATGCTTCTAATCTTCATCTCACTACTCACCACCCCTTACACAAACGAACTCCACTGAACTGCTTTTTAACATTGCAGCTCCTACTTTTTTGAGAGTTGATACAAAAAATAAACATATTATAATCCTTGTGTAATTTCTACAAAACCATTCTTGGATCTATAAAATATCAGTCTCTTTACCAATACCTACTTCAGATTGCAGTTCTAGGGGGAAATCATGTCATTCCTGAAGAATTCAGGGTACCTTTTTTTTTAATCAAACAGTTACATTCATATGTTTCTTGTTATCTTCAACAGTTTAAATCATACTTGATGACAAATTGTAGTCATTAATATTGGCTTTTGGTTCCAGAATATTTATTTCTTTCACCCACATAAGGTCTTTAAAATTTTAATGACCTTATTGAAAGAGAGGAAGCAAAATTTTCTTTTCTTTTTCTTTTTCTTTTTTTTCTTTTTTTTTTTTTTTTTGAGGTTCGAAGGAGAATAAACCATATGTGATTCTTACTTGGTTTAAAGTCAAGTAGTAGATAAGGCCTCAGGTAATCTTGCTACTTGATTTATATCTGAACATTCACATCAAAACATGCAGGCTTCTTTCCATAATGCTTAAGGTGATTTTTTGGCATTGCAAAAATCAACTCAGTGAGTTGGTCCCACAGATGGCATTCCCATGTTTTTATTGCACAGGAGCCCAGGAAAATGATGGCCAAATTGTCAGGACTTCTCTCAAGGTCTCCTTTATACCTAGATAGCCTCTTCATTTAAATCAGTATAAGTTCAGACCACTGGATTTTTTTTTTAAGTCATGTAGACCCTGATCTCTCTAAATACAATGCTAAATCAATGGTGTATACTATAAAGCTCCCTGCTGAGAGGTATCTCCAACCCTTCCTGCCAGAATGTGTTTCCCTGCCTTTTCTCTCTATAGGGTTCCCAAGAATCCTCACTCCAATCATATGAAGCCATCCCTGTAGGAAAGCCTTGTTTACTGCTATTCCAAAAGCATGTTTTATCCTTCTTTTGAGTTCCCACTGCTTCTCCCCGGAAGCAAGTCACAGAACAAATCACAAACTGAAGCCAAAACAGAACATACATAAATGCAACAGGCCATTCACCCCCCAACAAAGTGGTCACGGCACTTAAGTACTTACTGTTAAAATGATGTAACGCAGTTGCTTCTGAGCTAAAATATTCGCCATCTCCTATTGAAGAAAAACACACCCACACAAAGGCTTCAGTTAGAAAAAAATATTTCAACAGGCTCCAAAAGGACAAATCCTGGGGTGTACTTCATTACTGGATATCAGCAGTATTCTGTATGAAATAATGGACTCACATAGGCAGTAGTATTCAAATTATTTTTTGAATGTGCAAAAGCAAAGAATGGAAATCTGGCACTTGCAAACTTCTTTTTTGGAATGTCCCCCTTGCAGGAAAAGGTAGGAGCTGAGTAAAAAGCAAACACTCCAACTGAAAACAATGGTTCTTCACTGCAAGACTCAATAGTTTCTATTAGGTTATACATGTGCAGAGATAGCAGCAGGCAAAAATGCCCACACACAAAAAGAGTCCAGCTTTAGAGAATCATCACTTTAAAGATTATCTTTTAAATTTTATGTTAATCGGAGCAACCTGGGACTGACAAAAGTCTAGCAAGCTCATGTGGAGTAGATCTCAGTGGAGGACAAATACCTGGGCAGACGCTAGGCTCTGGATTACACAAGAGCATTGCTACATCTTATTTCTACAAGATATACTGTGTGCTCTGGCCTGCCTGACTGGCACTTGCAAGTGATTTTATTAAGTTCAATGATATACAGATGCCCTTCATAAATACTGGCACATGCTAAGGGAAAATGAAATCATTGAGAACAATCTTGGTGCAAACATTCAAAAGCATAAATACTGCTCATATTCAGGAATACACCTAAATGTTGTTTGTTTGGTAGGGGGTATTTTAGCTATTTGTACTGATAGAGAAGAAAGTAAGCTATGCTTCAAAAACACAACCATAAATCTGATCAAGGTTAAAATAAAGTTGCAGAAAGTAAGGAGAACCAAGAACACAGGGAGGAAGTATGAGGAGGACACACAGGCTGGACAGAAGCAGAGTGGGAATGTGGGACTTACAGTCAGAGGACAATCGAGGATGTCAACACTGCTCTCTACATCAACCTAGCGGGGTCATCGCCACCACAGAAAGGAAAGCAAGTAGGAGAGAAGAGGGATGGAAATGCAGAGGACTCTGTTAGAGGTTACAGCATTATGTTAAGACCCATGCTGACTCACTATATTGAAGAGAAATGTAAGGTTATTTTAAAAAGTTAGAGTAAAATAAAAATCCAATATTAGGTCCTCTTCCAATCTCTTCGAAACAAGAACAATGACACATCCTGGCTTTTTTAATAGTCATCCAGATAGTTTGCCCTTCCACTGTGCCTGTAAAGGAGAATTTTCTTCCTAATCAAAATAGAAAGGTCCACATTTTTTTTTAATGGACCAGATATAAAACAAAAGGCCAAAGATTGCTATGGTTCTTTTAAATTATGAAATTAAAAGATGCTTCTATAAAACAAAATTGTCCAAGTGACATATAACAACGATAAAAATAAGACATAGTCCCTACTTTAGCTTACTGACTTATAAAAAAATTCAGTTAGAAGAGTCACTATATTCCCAACATCTATTATAAAAAATATTATAACTATCTGTTTGTAATATTTAACTGCTGTATAGGATTATGGGCATCTCCAGAGCATAGAGACCACCCACTTTATCTTTATATTCCAAATACAGAGCACAGTATCTGAGACAAAACAGACAATATATGTTTGATGAAAGAATGAATGAAAGTCTTCCACTATCCTCCTAAGGAACAGAAGCTCAGTTAAGAGGGAAAAAAAACCAGAAAATCCCTTCCTACTTCCTGCATTTTTTTTTTTTGGTCTTTTTTTTTTTTTTAATGGAACTGTTTTGGCAAACTCAAGAATTCATTGAGAATATGTGATTCCATTAGCATAATATTAATATGGGTATAGATATACTGACGTGGACTAATGTCCACAAATTTTGTTTAGCTTAAAGAGAAGTAAAAAACAACAAAACAACAGTATATGAAGTATGATCACATCTGGTTAAAAAATAATGTTTGTAGAGGGAGCATTTGAACAAAACAGGAAGTAGGGCCATGAAAAGTCACAATCTTGTGAATTGTTCTAATGTTCTCTCTTTAAGAATAAAATTATGGGTGTTTTTAAACTTCTTCCTTTGGAATTCATATTTCTCCACAAGTACTTTAACTAAAAAGTGTTTTCTAACAAGGTTCATAAAATTCATAAATGTCTGTAGAAACATTTGGAAAGGATCTAGCCAACATATCTGCCATGAAAACAATAAAATGAAAAAGTCTGAGTATTTGCAAAGAAAGGGACCCATTTGCTTAACTAACACCAATTCGCCCCTCACAAATCAAGCACCCTTTCTCTTCATGTGTGCAGAAAAGTGAGATGGCCAACCTTGGAGGCATGGAAAGACATCATCTCCAGTCCTTTAGAAGTGACTGGGTGACCTCCAAAAAGAAGGAAGGTGAATGCCAGACCTTAGCTGGAGCCTAGTTCTCTCTCAGTCAGAAAGGGAACTTGTTTTGTGAGGGCTGGGAATGGATTAGTTGAGCAAGTGTGTCCATTTCTTTGCAACTGATTAAATGGATTCTTCAATCAGATTATGTTCTTATTAAAGTGAGAAAATGGGCGAGGTATCTCTTTTCAGGGAATTGTTTATTAGATAAATACAAGAGAAATCCTGAGTGATGCCTCCTAAGGTTGGTATCCAAACTGATGCTTTGCAGTAAAAGCAAGGTAAGATTGGGATTCTAGTTGCAGTCTGGTAGAGTTCTTTACTCCCTTTGACCTTCAATTTTATTATGAAATAGAAATAATAAGGCTTTCCCTTATATGAGAATTAAATGAAAAATTTAAAAACACTTTGTCTCCATGATACTGAGCCTGGCACAAGGCGCATGGCTGACTCTTAAAAACTATAGGTAGATTTGCAAAAAGTATTTTGAACTCTGAATTATTCAAAACATAAGTCAAAAATAATGTATAATATGTATCAAGCCAGGCAATATCATTGATTGTTTGTTCTTCTAGCTGTTTTCTTACATGGATTTGATCATATTCTTACATGGACTTGATATTAGTAAACTACCCTTTATTATTATTATATTTATATATGGGTGAACTCTCATAAGTATTATATTAGCTAATTAAAATAACATTTTAAGTTAAAAAAACTAAGGTTTGATTCATAGAATTCAAAACTAATGTTATATTGTCATTTCATTACATTTTAATTATTATCATTGTCCTGAAGTCAATACATACAGAAACCTATCCCCTCTCTCTCCCTGGCCATTTGGTTTTAATTTAGCAGATTACCTGTAATTCTTGTCATAACAGTAAGATGCAAAATGTGTGCATCTTATTTGAGTCCAGGTCCAGAGATCCAGGTGAAATAATAGCAATGGGATGGACATGAGCCTTTACTTCCTCTAATCCAACTTCTTCCATAGGGCAAAGGAAAGTTTTAAGATGTTGAACCATAATGCAGCCACTTTATAGTCAGCTACCATGTGCTTTGGTGATATCCCTGGGCTAGTTATTAGAAGGGTCAAATTCTCCATGATCTATGCCACCCTTGTAAATATGCACAGGAAAGAGCTGCTAAGCAACTTGTAGAGCTTCTCCAGACTAATTAGTTCAGTATTGAGATATAAAGGGAGTGGCCCCACTCACAACTCCACCTAAGATCTGCAAAGGTACCCATAAAAAATCCAACCCGAGCCACAGCTTCAGAAGGGCAGTCGCCTCTTGGCACCTGCCTATACCAAACCCAAGGCCTTTGTGTGTGTGTGTGTGTGTGTGTGCAAATATAGTTTCTAGGAATGGGCAAACAATTCCAAATGGAAAACAATCCAAAACATCACATTGGTGTGTGTGGTTATGATACTAGGCAGTGAAAAGGAAACAAACAAACAAAAAAAATTGACACAGTATTCGGTAGCATGCTGCCTTTCTAAATTCTTCTAAATAAATTTATCAGTAACTTGTCACTGAGTTCCCCAACACATGTTCTAATAGCAGAAAAATATATTTCTACACAGCTTTTAAATGAAATGAGTTGGAGCCAAGGTGACATAGTATGTGTCATGTAGATACAGAAAAAAAAAGGAATGAATTTTGAAGTGTCAGCTGACTTCTGAAAAATTCAAGATTTCAAGATTCTACTACTTTCAAACACCCCACATCTGCTTCTGAAAAATTCAAGATTTCATTTCTCTTAC